GGGCAGCTGGCTCGAGGGCAGCGCCTGCGCGAGGGGAGTGTCGGGGTGTCAGAGTGCAGGCAGGATCCCATGACCATGTGTGTGTGTAGCGCTGTGAGTGTGTGTGTAGCGCTGTGAGTGTGTGTGTAGCGCTGTGAGTGTGTGTGTAGCGCTGTGAGTGTGTGTGTGAGAGTGAGTGTGTGTGTGAGAGTGAGTGTGTGTGAGAGAGTGAGCGTGTGTGTAGCGCTATGAGTGTGTGTGAGAGAGTGAGTGTGTGTGTAGCGCTATGAGTGTGTGAGAGAGTGAGCGTGTGTGTGTAGCGCTGTGAGTGTGTGTGTAGCGCTATGAGTGTGTGTGAGAGGGTGAATGTGTGTGTAGCGCTATGAGTGTGTGAGAGGGTGAGTGTGTGTGTGAGAGAGTGAGTGTGTGTGCAGCGCTATGTGTATGTGTGAGAGTGAGCGTGTGTGTAGTGCTGAGTGTGTGTGAAAGAGTGAGCGTGTGTGTAGCGCTATGAGTGTGTGTGTGAGAGAGTGAGTGTGTGTGTAGCGCTATGAGTGTGTGTGTGAGAGAGTGAGTGTGTGTGAGAGAGTGAGCGTGTGTGAGAGAGTGTATGTGAGAGGGTGAGTGTGTGTGTAGCGCTATGAGTGTGTAGCGCTATGAGCGTGTGTGTGAGAGTGAGCGTGTGTGTAGCGCTATGAGTGAGCGTGTGTGTAGCGCTATGAGTGTGTAGCGCTATGAGTGTGCGTGTGAGAGAGTGTGTGTGTAGCGCTATGAGTGTGTGTGAGAGAGTTAGCGTGTGTGTAGCGCTATGAGTGTGTGTGTGTATGAGAGAATGGGAGAATGAGTGTGTTTACGAGAGAGTGAGGGTGTGTAGTGCTATGAGTGTGTGTGAGATTCAGTGTGTGTGTACGAGAGAGTGTGAGTGTGTGTTTCAGAACGGTGAGACAGGTGCTGCTCTTGGTGCTTCCCAGACTGTCCCAGCTGCTGGAGACTCTTCTCTTCCTCTCGCTCGGCCTTTTCTGACTTCTCTAAAGTTCTAAAGCAACAACAATTAGACCATATCTATACTATTACTATTAACAGATCTAACAGATTACTATTGTGTTATTATTATGCTCTCTGTTCTTCAGGCTGTAACAGGTGATCACATACCTGGCTTCTGCTCTGTTGAGTTTCCTCTTCTAGCAGGACCGGGAGCTGTTCTGATTCTGGCAGGTGGGGGAATTCTGGGATCAGGTTTATTTTATGGAAGAATGTTTGTCTAATTTGTTTGTCACACTGCAGCAGAAAGTGGATCTCTGTCTCTGCTTATCCCCGCTGGCAGTAGGAGCACAGCCTGTCATCTCCGGACAGCCAGGTCTGCCTGTGTCCAGTTTCTGTGGCCAGGCTGTGGTCACTGAGCCTGTCCTCTCTGGACAATCAGGTCTGCCTGTGTCCAGTTACTATGGCCAGGCTGTGGTCACTGAGCCTGTCCTCTCTGGACAG